ACCTTTGTTAAGTTTGACGTGTTTAATGAAGCAGATGACTGCTGCTTCGGCTGATGGGTCATGCGATAGGGCATTCCTTAGAGACTTCCTAGATTGCTGATCATTGGGGCCACCAATTTGTGTTCAACTGTCATTGCAAGTGTCGCAAGTTTTCCATAAATTGAAGGAGGATCCAGAAGTCGCGGATAATGAGCCCAACCCAGTGCTTAATGTTGGGACCAGAAGTTGACCGGATGATCTGCTTCACAATTACCGGTAATGTCGCAGTGACCCGGTATCCAGAGGAAAACTGTATTCGACGGTGTGTGTTTTTGGATCCCCTAAATCCAGGGATACCTCGGGAACTGGGATTCTAGAGCCAAAAGGGCACTGGCTTTGATGTTTTATAAGATACAGATGGGTTTGTTGGCGCTCATACGGACACAGTGGAGAATGGCTGCATATTCCTCCGAGAAAATAGGTCAGGGAGTCGGAAAAAATGACCCTCTTTAGGGTCTCGATACCAAATTTGACTTTTCCTCTAGGTTTAGAGCCGTCCGGTGGTGGTGCTCGAGGTACTTAGTCCCTAGAATCTCGGCGACGTAAGTGCGCATCTCTTCAGAGAGTTCTCTCCGTATTTGAATCGCCTGGCTACAGAGAAATCGACACAAAGTGAAGAGTCATCTCCTTCCCCTGGCTCCGTTCCACTGGACGCTGGAGGGGAGTTTCTGAAGGGCCAGGTTCTCATGAAGTCTGTTCCCTTCTCTGAGGAGGCATATCTCTTCAGGTCCGGTTGTTTATCTAGAAAACTGATTGTCTTCGGCTCTAGTGTTGATGCCACCTGGTATTTGAAGGGTAAAACTCCAAGCTCGACGCAACTCGAGTCTGCGGGAGGGAAGGGAGCAACCCTGCCACAGTGCAGATGGCTTTGTTGTAGGTGGCAGTCAGTCTGGTGATGAAGAATTCAGCTGCTGGGCAAAAGAGCTCTATCCCATCTAAACTGCTTATACAGAAAGTTTCAAAATCAAGCAGGAATGGGAACCTTTTGGGATCAGTGTGTTTTTATCACTTACCATCACACGTAAGGAGTAGAGCTTCAACCCAGTTTCAACGAGTGAAATGAACAAATGCGTTCATTATACATCAACGAATACGCGTTTGTTGATATTCACCAGTGCATGAATATTCAACCCAAAATTGCCAAAATCAGAAGCGATCCTCAAAAGCAAAATAGTGAAATCAATTTTGTTCAAAATTATTATTTAGAATTGTGTTGACCCCAGAACCTAGATCCTCGATATTATCATCAATTCAACGAGAAAGAATAATTTTCCATCGATCTGTGTGCAAAATCCAACACGACACGTTCTTCAGCGCTATATTTGTGTAAAATGAAAATTATCATTTTACATTTGATCTCCAAAATCATCCCCACCAAGATGAAGACGAATATTACTATTGACAACAACAGAGGCGATAATGAACATCTATAGCCATGAATAAAGAAAAACAAATGTTGGTTTCGATACTGCCTTGATTAAGATATGGACGATGGATGGATTTGAGTTCACTCACTCGAGAAAAAGTTACACAAGCTGCGGACAATGTTGACTAATCATGAACACTAAATGTTCATGAATAATGAATAATGAACATTAAGCTTATGTCACTTTTTCTCGAGTGAATGAGCTCAAATTCATCGGTGCACTCATCCATTGTGATTATGCAAAATTCAAATTCATGCAGGTAGTTGGTCTATCTGTTAAGGTTGTCTTCATTGTCAGCTAAGTTGAGTACGACAGAAATTATTTTTATCAGCGCTGTTTGGGATACACCAGGCCAACGACGAGTTACGATGAAAGTAATCTTGTGCTTAAATTTCATCTGTTCAGATGTGCTTGATTTGGATCATATAAGATGTTAGTGTTTTCCCCATTTCACGTCATTGGTATTCAAATTGGCCACCACCGATCTCATCTTTATCACCCTCATTCTCGATTTTGAATAAAACCGAAGACAACAAATCAAGAAGACTGGCAACTTTGCCAGAATCCAAGCGACAGATACAGAAGCGCTACGTTTGAGTGAAGGTGGAAGCAACGCATAGAAAAATGAGCAAATACACAAACCCTTCGTCTAAGGATGTACCTATCTCATAGCGTTCGTATGAGAAAATGGAAGAGTTGCCAGTCTTCTTGATTTGTTGTCTTCGATAAAACGGAGCTAGGCACACGAGTTAATGGTATGGTTAAGGTGCTACGAAACATAGTTCACAAATGACCATCAAGATGCCTGATTCCACTTTCACGTCAAATTTTCTAGAGTACAAATCTCGGAAACTATTGCGACTTCACTCATGAAATTCGCTTCTCCATGTTTGCTGCACTGCAGTAAACGTTGAGAAGCAGTTTTGTATTTATTTGATAATATTCGTACTTACTTGATAAGTGTTTTGTTGGAGGACGAATTCTAAATTGTTAACACCAATAAACCATATAAGAATCATGGGAAAATTCCATATGGAGCAATCTGCCATTCGTTAAGCTACAGTGACTGTCATACCTACATTGATAATTAATTCAGGTATTTCGTCATACCGCAATACATTTTTAAATTGCCCCATCTATCATTTCAAAAGTTGCACAGTCATCAAAATAGTTGGTTTTCTTAATTGCCAATGTCATCCGACAAGGCACCCATGAAATTATCATCAAAAGGCCGTCCAGCCAGGTACCACTGTGTGTAATTCAATACAGTTGTCAACATATTCACCGCCCGCTCCAACGTCACAAATCCCTGGACAGGTGCTGCGGGCGGCGGTCTTCGGCACCCACCAACGACCGCCGAGTGATGGCAAGGCCACAGAGCACCACACCAGCACAAACACAATCGCATCCTCTGTATTACCACCGCACATACCAACACTTAATTATGGGTCATTAAAAGCGCTTTGAATGTGGCAATCAAAATTAATAGAGAAAATCATAAATTACAAGCCACCGCCCCCCCCCCCCCCCTTCCCCCTGTCAAACCAACGTTCGCGATATAAATTCCCTGTACACACCAAGCACACATGAAACGAGCAACACAAAAATTATTATGTTTCATTTTTGAGATTCTTTGCGCCACCGGGCACTTTATGTCATGCATCTTTTGATTATTTACGAGGATGCCTTAAGCCTTGCAGGAGGTAGGAGTCAGTCTTTTTCATTTATCGAACTTTAAGTGTATTCTAGAAACGGTTAGTTCTAATGTTCGAAAACAACCTAAATTCAAGTTTTCCAAAGTCAGCTTTCTATAAGCATGGGAATTAAAAATAATTTTCCTAATCGAATTGGCATTGAAGTTGATGATCTCCGCTAATATCCATCAATGTTGTCACTCCATAAAATTATAAATATATCCCACTCCCCACATACCGTGCGCGTGATTCTGCCCCCATAAGAACCACCCACGGCAGAAACCCAATCGCAGAGTCGCTCATCCAAGTGACAATCTTCGCCGCATTGTTTTCCTTCGGCAAGTCCTCCCGAACATTTCCTCTCCCTCGCAGACACGCTACTCGTCAGTATAATATGCTACCACATCATCATAAATTCCGCGAGCTGGCGCACCTCCTTCCTCCTTCCCAGGCATCAAAGGCATTTCGGATGGTACGCGCGCTCTCGCGCCCGGCCGGTCTTCGGAATCGTTCAGCAAAGACCAGAGCGGAGACACTGGCTGAAACAAAGACGGAATACCATCCATAAATTAAAATAAAAATCTTCCTACATGACATCTATCTCAATCTAGGCGAGATAAAATAAATTTATTGGCTGCGACAGTGCGTCGCATACGGCTATTTTCGGTTTGAATCCCTCCCTCTCTAGAAAAGAGAAAGAAAAAGTGGAAAGCATTTCTTGTGAAAACAGTTTCCCGACTCGTATAGGACCCACTTGTCTCTGTTTAGTAGCTAGTTCAGCTCGTTGGTAGTGTTATTATTTTGATTTTAACTCCTTCCCTCTTGGCTCTTCCGAATGCCGCAAAGGTGGAGGGAAGAAGAATGGCTCCGCGGTGTGAAATATGCGTGAAACGGTTTCTGAAGTATCTCCGACGAGCAATTTCGTGCTTACTGAAATAGCTAGCCGGGATTAAACGAAGTGAGTAATTAGGGAATTCGGAATGGCACTCATCGGTGGTGTTGTTGTGAATGGATTATGGGGAAGTTTCAGTAATTATTGTGTGAGTTTATCGATTTTAGAGCGGAGACACGCCGAATCTTCTTATTCAAGGAACTACAGGCAGTGCTGAGGATTGGCATTGTCATTGAAAGTTTTCACGCAAACCTAAACCTTTGGCAAAAACTCGTCCATTTGTTCGCCAATGACAAAGACAGGGCTGTTACAACAGGCGCGGATTTCGCGATTTTCGCGGATTATTAAAAGATTTGAATTTTTAGTCGTGAAAATCACGGAGGAACTGCGTTAATTTTCCTTCAGATGGCACAGCTGTTCTTGATGGTTACATATCAGAAGTTACGCATACACTTAGTTTTATTAATTGTTAACAGAGGGCACTCCTGTCAAAACGCGTGGCACCTCTATATATGTATGCATTTAGATTAACATCCGAAGTCCCTCCTTTTTTACATATTCTGCACACAAAATACTTTCTATGCCCCACCTTTAACACGATTTTTCGCCGTTTTTATAAGAATGGGGCGGAATAGAAAGTATATTTTGTGTAAAAAAGAAGAAACATAGGATGTTAATCTAAATGCATATATAGAGGTACCAGACATGTTGTGCAGTGTCAGGTACTTTATTCTGAAGTCTGTAAGAAGGTCATCAAAATGCATGGCATGTTGGGAGATTGAGCTCGTGAGAGCGAATTTCCTCTCTCAAATTTGATTTTTTTTACATCTCTGGGGACTGGTAGTAAAGCGGGTAAAACGAAATTTTTTTTTATCGAATTGTAGCTTGTGTTGGCCGCACTGGCCTGAGCGCACCTACCGTGTCAGAACATCCCTGCAGTGGGTTTGACAGCGGAGTGACAGGTATCGATCTGACACCGGGGTGAGTAAGGAAGAGGATAAAAAGATAGAGCCACACGATTGGAATCGAAAATTATAACATTCTCAGTCCTAAATGTTTCTTATGCATCTATTATTAAATTGAACTTAAATTAATCTTAAACTAGTGAACCTAGGTGCTAAATATTAAAATTAACCGTGAAATTGTTTGAGCCGGTAAGCTGAGATCACTTAAAACTATCTTAAACGAAACTTAATTGCTATTAGTTATAACTAGGTTACCCACAACAATAACACCAGCTTTGCAGTAGTGCCGCAATTCTATTAGACACTACAATCGGTGAGAAACTTAAACTACAGTGTTTCCTCGAAAATTACTATTAATCCACTTAATTATGTAGGATATTGCCGTCAATTGCGTTTCAAAGGTCACGAGAGGATTAAACCATATTAATCTTACCATACGAAAGCCAATCGGTAAGATCATACATAGGTACAGTAATAAACACAAAAAAAGCTAAACTCTATTACCATTAGGACAACCACAATAATCAGGTCGAGAACCCACTTAAATCCCAGCCGGGAGTTATATGCTAAAGGAACTAAACGTAAGTCTTACCGGCTAAAATTACAATCTAAACTTACATCTATAAAGCACAAATACTGAATTTAATTGATACTTTTATGAAACACAAAATTGATAACTAATATTGATCACAAATGTCCTGCATCTTACAGGAAAATTATATTCTCCCAAAACCGAATATTGCGTTTTATTGCCGTCGGTGGAGAATTATAACATCGGAAAATTCCTATTAAAACGATTTTTAACAGCTTGTTTAATAATAATTTCCAGAAAATAAGTGAATGACTTCTTTAGGCTTTCGTTCACTTTTCTTGACCTGAATTCGCATCGAAAGCTAATTATTTCAACTTATCTCTATTTATATACGGAGATTTGTATTACTTCCTACGAGTAGAACAGCGCCATCTCTGTGGAAAATTGCCTGACTATATGATTAATTGTTTATGGTTAACTTCAAAGAAAAACGACCATGCTTTTTATCGTGTATTTTGATGTACAGAGCAGTGATGCCAACATTCCAGTTTAAACTGGATTCTTCCAGTTTTTTTTTTGACGCATCCAGTCGAACAGTTAAGGCCGGCGCACAATAGATACGTTTTCGGGTTTTTTGACAGATAATGCATGGGCTAACTGTCAAAAAACCTGAAAACGTATCTATTGTGCGCCGGCCTTTAAAGTTTTAAATCTTGCAGATTATTAATACCCAGACAACCAGAATGCACGTATATTCAAAGTTGTTTCTGTAATATACAAACAATCAAATCGTATAGAATGGCAAAAAGGGCTTATACCAACAAATGTGGAGGCCATGTACGTGCAAATTTAAAAAAAATTTTAAACGAGTTGATTTGACATCATATACGATTTAATCTGTAATAACAAATTCAATTTGAAAAGTTTTACGATGTAATCCGATTAAATTTGTGATTCAGTACGGTGGAAAAATGATTCATCGCATCTCAGTCGGAAAAACGGCACCGGTGGTGTAGTGGTAAGCGTGAATACCTCTCACCCCAGCAGGCCTGGGTTCAATACCAGTCGGCGCCGCCGGGATGTTCTGAGGCATAACATCTCTGATCACGCCTTCCTTCGGATGGGAAGTAAAGCCGTTGGTCCCCGGTTCATGAGTTAATGGGTCGATAGGTAAGGGTCCAGTTGTGGGAGAGCTGCCTTCCTGACACTTCGGTAGCATTGGTGCTCAGCACGGAAAACAAGATCGACGAAAAAACAACCGAAGGAAGGCGTGATCAGAGATGTTATGTTTGAGAACATCCCGGCGGCGCCGACTAGGATTGAACCCAGGCCTTCTGGGGTGAGAGGTTATCACGCTTAGCACTACACCACCGGCGCTGTTGGGTACTTCATTCTATACACCCTTTTTTATTGGGATTTGGATAGTAACTATTATTAAGTTAATTTGCATTTCAAACGAAAATGCATTAATGTTTTAAAATAATGTTTCAGACAAGCTAGGCTGCTTTAAATCAAAAGAATCTCATAATGTAAAGGTGTTTTATTATGTTTTCTAAATACTCAAAAGTTATGCTAACAAAAACTGAAGATGATACATTTTTTTTTCAAGGGGTAAAAACGATACTTCCTTCCCTCAGTCGGTAAAGGCACAGCTACACAGCAAGTCTATGATGGAGGAGGCTGACTTCTATTCCCATCCAGTATATTAATTTTTGGGGAAAGAAAAAATCTCGACTTTCTTGGGTATAGGAGTGTACATATAAGCATAGAAAGAATTAAACATTTGGAAGTGCTTCAAGAACTGGTTGACTAAAAGTAAATTGGTACGCCCCTCGCGCGCCGCTAGCACGCTTCTAGTGTTGGGAATCGAACATCTTTGACAGTGGTTTGTTTACACTTCTATAGAGAACAACTGGTGCAGATTTGATCAAAGTAGTCGATCGCGTTCAGAAATACAGTCAAATGGAACTCGAAAGAAGAAAAAAATATTCTGCACAAACACATGGAAAATCCGGAGTGGTCCGGTTCCAAGCAGCCTAAAGTGGTGAAGATGCCGAAAACAACAGTTTGTCGAGTGCTCAAAGCCTACAAGAAAACCCTGAGTGTGGAAAGGAATCAGCGGACCTACGCAAAAACTGGAATCAGGGATCGTCAGCTGCGCAGCAAGGTGCGAGGTGCGTGAAAGCCAACCCCGGTCTTTCGATCCGAGATGTGGCCAGAAGGTACTACGTCAACTTTCAAACGGAACATCCTTCCCAGGGAAGGATTTAAGTCGTACAAAGCCAATAAAAATTCGAAGCAGAATTCCGTGGCCAAAAAGCGTGCAAGGCTCTTGAATGATCGTGTTTTGACGAAACACAAGGGCTGCACTTTGATCGATAACGAAACATACGTCAAACTCGATTTGAAGCAGCTTCCCGGTCAAAAGTTTTACATCGCGACTGGACGTGGGGATTGTGCCGGGAAGATTCAAGTTCGTGTTTGCCAACAAGTTCGCGAAGAACCCGATACAAACAAAAAAACAAAATATTCCACTTGGATGGCGATTTCAAGCACCTACGGTGGATAAATTAATCAGGACAGGTGAAAAATATTGCCCTCTTCCTATTGGCAAATCAAAGTTGGCACTCGTGGAGAATAGAAGAACTATGAGAGTGATGATGGTTTCAAAATTTTACACGGTGAGGTATACGAGGGCAAACTTTAAATGCTTTTATTTTGCAAATGGACCATTTTATTTAAATCTGGTTAATGCTACGCTAGTAGAAAACTTAAGGACTACTTAATAGACATATAATATAGAAAAAATTATTTCTTTTCAGATTTTTATGTGTAGACATAGATTTCAGCTTTTCTACAACTGTAGCAGCAACCAGATTTAAATAAAATGCTCCATTTGCAAAATAAAAGCATTTTAAGATTGCACTCGTATACCTCCCCGTGGAAAATTCTGAAACCATCATCACTCTCATAGTTCTTCTATTCTCCACGAGTGCCAACTTTGATTTGCCAATGCTTCACGGTGAAAATTTTCGCCCTCATCACTCTTTCGAGGGTTCCCTTATTCACCGCCAGAGGCTGGAACAATCGCTAAGTTTCTATTCTATGCAACGATAGCATAAGCGCCACTTGTGGCAAATAGGAGAACTAGAAAACTGATGATGCTACCATAATTTTGCACGGCGAGGTATGGGAGAATATTTTAAAAACGCTTTATTTAACGAATAAAGTATTTGCTATAAATTTGCATGTACATACGATGTTTGAAAAGTTCAAATCTAAAAATCTAAACGAAAACTAAGAAAAAAATTCAATTTTAAAATTTTACGTCTATCCAATAGCTGTTGAGGTTTCTTACCCCGTAGCAGCTTTTAAAAAATGACAAATATTTTTTTTTTCGGATAAAAAATGCTTTTCAAGATTTCTTTCCTATACCTCAACGTGCAAAATTTGGAGACCATCATCATTTTTTCTATTTCTCCTATTCACCACGAGCGCTATCGTTAGATCGCCTATTACACAGAGATCCAACAGATGATGCTTGGGACTAGCAATTATCCTGAATGTGTAAAAACTGGTGATCTAAAATTAAGCAATACCAGCACCGGCCGCGCCCGAATGCATGTCAATAAAGGATTGAGTATGAATGTATAGACGTGATACTCGCTTTGGAGACTTCCACGAGAAATCACTGGGTTGTTGGCAAAATGAGTTGGGTATGCAGCAAAGTTGGTTTTGGCAAACGGTTCGCTGAATTATTGATGGATTCGTACGAAGAAAAAAAAAAGATTAAACTAATGATGTTGTACTCAGTAAGCAAAAACGATCACTCTAAGGGCACCGAGCCCCTCATATCACATCACTCCACTTATAGTCGAGTTGTTGCAGCCATTAATCATTTTAGTTGGGACATGTTCAGAAATTTAACTCTTTTGGAAAATCCTGGTGGCAGTGAAAAGGGCTTAAAGCCTTTGGAAGATGACGATGAAGTGTAGGCAGCTGGATCAGCAAATCGGACCGGACAATCCCATAATCTTCGGTTCAATGATTGGGCACTCGCAAGAGTCTCGGCCCGTCTGCTGCTGAACAGAGGTTGAACTGGTATCTGCGACAGGTTGGAAGGCCGCAGGATATTAGTGTCATCCTAGCTAAAGTTCCTCCCCTTTTTAGTTTTTCTCGTTAAACTCCTTCTCTCAACAAGTTGGTAAAGTCTTAGTCTTTATCAGAAAGCCGCTTGATACTTTTTTTTTTCGTCGAATTTATGATCCTGTTTCACGTCATGGTTCTTCTATGCCTGTTCAGATAAATTAGTACTTTTATTGATTTTGTATACTGCGCTAAATCAAACGAGTAGAAATCGAATCGAATCGAATAGCTGGAAAAACCTTAACGATTCAACTTAAGAGATGAACTAGCCTATGGTTAAAAATCTCTATAATAAAGAAAAAAAAAAAAAAACTTAACGATTCATCGTTTATCGAATACTTGGACTTTTAGGCATTCCTTGAAAATAGTGTCATTTCATGCATTTTGGTGGTCCTTCGAAAATGTCGAACAGCAGAATTGCAACCAGCAAGTGTAGCCCAAAAACCAAAAACGGTGCGATGATAGTTTTCATTGCTATGACGACGACTGAATTAAGGGGCTTAGCAGCAGAGGTGTGAAAGTCAATTCTCTTCATCGATTTCCTCTTTTGATGACCATGGCTTCACTAACCTATTTCGCAATATTTCTGCTATGCTCTTCTATCATCCAGAACAACAAACGTATCAATGAATGTGTTTGCCGTCGAGTTATTTACGAAACAGTAAGTCGATGGAGAGAATCGATTAAAATCACTTGCACCCCTACTTCCAAGTTTGGTTACAAGATTAAAACTCTGGAGAGCATTTTGTGTGGTCGTTGGGGGCGTGTGGTTCTGAATATGGCGATGAGTATGCAAAATGTTGTAACCGTTCTGTTACAAAGGTTCAATACAATATTTTAAATATGCACCATGTGATCGAGCATTCAAATAAACTTGTGTAACACTTGCGGTGAAACCCACTGGGCAGACGATACGGCCGACTGCTGAATAAGGCGCGCATGGCCGCGGCAAAATGGTGACACGGAGTCACGGGTGATGAGCTGAAGGGCTCTACGATGCTTAGAGAACGGCCATCGTTCACTTTATCTCAGGCGAGCGTGTAGACATTCCAACAGAATACAGTGCGAGTAGTGAATCAAGGTG